TTCATCATCATGCAAATGTGATTAGAGAAAAAGCAATAGATGTTGCATGATATATCGGTAAAATTTACTTTTTGGAATTCGACTTTGACTATAACAATTCAACTTAATTACTTATTTGCTTTTGTGAGTGTGAGGTATGATGGTGGCTTCGTGAGGGGTGAGAACCATGTAAGGGTGGCAAAAGGGCCCTTAATTTAAGTGTCTCCCATCATCATGCATTAGAATGCAAAAGAGTTCAATTTGGTTGGAGGCTCAGCTGTGATAGACCTGAATTACAGCAAATATATGATATTCAAAATTTATTTGTTAACCCTACCTCTCCTGGATTTATTTATTAGACAGTGGTCATCAACAAATAAATTTTAAACCAGCTGAGATCTAAATTTAAAATGAGTAAAGTCACTATACTTGCACATGCCTCCTTCCCCATATTTTATACAGTAATCCAGATGGAGTAGGAAAAAGTGGGATTAGATACATGATCTAGAACAGATGACGGAAGCAATTGAAGAGGAGCTGCAGAGACGCGCGTGTAAGGGTAAATCGAGCAAACAACAGATTTGGACTCCGAGCTCATAATCGGGCCTATGACCTGTCGATTCGAGATAGTTTAGTAGCCCGAAGTTTAGTTTTAAAGTTTTTATAAATTTTGGATACTTTGTGTTTTTTTCAATTTTAATTCGTTGTTTATTTCTAGAGTCTCTAGGAGTATTTAAACAGATTTTACCTGTGGCTAGTGTTATGTTTTGTTATTTTAATTTATCAAATAAACCTTGAGGTTTCCCCATACTTTCCTTATGGATTCTAGAGTTACATATTCTAGGCTAAGATTTTAGTCAATTTATTGTCATGCTGCGTCAATACACAACATGTTAAGTATATGTATGCATGTGTTGTATGATATGTATCCAACTTTTTCATATTCATAGTAAAAATTCTATTTAGCTACATACCTTGAAGACTAACTCTTTCAGTAAAGTATTAAGCAAATTCACCTGTCACTGGCTGTGCTGCATTGGCCATAAAATTGTAGAGAACTTTGAATGTTTTATTATAATGTGTAACAAACATGGCAAATATATTTAAAGAGTATAGCCGGGTGGCTATACCTTTTATTAAGAAAAAAAGACTCGATCTCTTGGACTACAGGGGTCCATGAAATTTGTGGTCATTCACCGTTGAATGTAAATTCAACGGGTCACTCACTCTTGCACTCCTTTTAAGAAACTTTTTTGAACCGTTAGATTAACATCAAATGGTGGGTTACCACAATCTCTTGGACCCCTGTGGTCCAAGAGATCGAGGCTGTATATTTAAAAAGTATAGTTGTGCGGCCATACTATTTATTAGAAAAAAGGACAAACTACAGTAAACCCCCTCACCTATAGCGTCATTTACGAGTTCATACCCGATTTTGGGAACATTTATAGGTACATACACAACGTCTCAAAAAATTACAGATCGCCCCCTCCATTAGCGATTCCATCATGAAATCCGTTATGTGCCGACGTATCAAAAGTGGTACCCCTTTTTTTAATGACTTGGACTTCCACGTGGACCAAAAATTAATAAAAAATTATTTTGCTATTTAAATTATTTTTAATCATTTTTAATACACACACACACACACACACACACACACACTCTCTCTCTCTCTCTCTCTCTCTCTCTCTCTGGGTTGATCTGTACAGCTTTGCATTCCCCTCCAGATTCGAGTCCAGCAAGTCCATCACTCGCATTAGCTGCAAATAGAACGGCGATTGCTGGTCTCTCTGCTCGTTCGCGTTCCCCGACGACCCCTCGCAAATCACTGCCTCCCCAAGACGGCTCCGAACTGTGGTGGTCTCCGCTTGCCGGAAGCAGAACCGGCTTTGGCTTCAACCTCACCGATGATTAAACCTTGTTCGTCGGGGTTCTGGCAGACGGCAGCTTGAGCCTGGGCCAGCCAATCGCTCGTGACGATACCGTGGTGCGCCGCTCGGGTTTGGTAGTAGGCCGAGATCTTAGGGTTAGGGCTTTGCGAGGGGTCGGCCATGGATGAGGACTGTGGGGGCGGGGGGGGGGGGGGGGGGGGGGGGGGGAGGAGCGATACTGTAGCGTTCTTGGTCCTTCTTGTCGAGATTGAACGAGGCTGATCTGCAAAACCCAGGTGGTTGGGTCTCCGCAACACGCCATAGGGAATGTTCTCAAGACCTCGCGAGCTCGTCGTCGTTCTTCAGATCTCGCCGGAGCTAGAACAATATTAGGATCTGCAAAATGAGTTTAAATTTGAGGAATTATCTGTGTTTTTTGTGTTCTGATAGTCGTTTGTTATTGGTGAAGGATGTGCCTTTTTGGGCAATGTTCTTTTTCAATTTTATGTTTGTTTGAACTTTATCATTTTGTTCCAAAAATTAATCTTGTTTCTGGGTTTATCAGTTTACCCAGAAACTGATAATTAATCAAGAGGAATTATCTGCAAAAATTAATCTTGTTTCAAATGTGGTAATTTGGAAATCAACCTATCACAGTACTTTACCAATATTCTTCTTTTCCAAGTTTCTTCACGATTTGTATTTCCAAATGTTGTTGTAAAATGGGTTTAAATTTGAGGAGAAGAATGATGAGCTTTCTGGAGAAGTTGGGGTGGGTTGGGAGGGAGAAGGGGAGAGAGAGAGAGTTGGGTTTGGAGGTGGGTGACGGAAGGGGGAGAGATGAGATTTTTTTTTTTCCTTTTCATTTTTTAATGATTTTAATATGATTTAAAAATAATTTAAACAGTAAAATATTTTTTTATTAATTTTTGGTCCACGTGGAAGTCGAAGTCATTAAAAAAATGGGTCCCACTTTTGACACGTCGGCACATAACGGATTTCATGAATGAATCGCTAACGGAGGGGGCGAGCTGTAATTTTTTGCGATGTTGTGTATGTACCCATAAATGTCCCCAAAATCGGGTATGAACTCGTAAATGACCCTATAGGTTGGGGGGTTTACTGTAGTTTGTCCTAGAAAAAATAAAGAAAAACAAGACCCTAGTATAGCTGCGCGACTGTACTATTTATTTTTATAATAAAAAAGTAACTAAACCCTAAACCCTTTTAAAGACTTTTTAAAAGTCACAACTGGATACCACAAAACTTTTGAATCCTTTTAACTACTTTTTAAAAGTCACAATTGAATACCACTAGACTTTTATAAACTCTTTAAAAATCTAAATTGAATACCTCCGGACTTTTAAACTCTATAAAAGTCATTAAAAGTTTGAATTGGATACACCCCCTTTAGCCTTGGAGGTCAAAGGTTCGACTCTCCCCAATTCCAGCATTAATGCATATTTTAGGTTTTGGTCAGTTTACTGAAAACCGATGATTTAAGCATACAAGGGTGGTTCCCAAACGGTAATGTGACGATTCGGTTTGATTCGGGCATCGATGTTAAGAAAATGGAGGAAGAGTCGAACCGGCCAATTCGATTTGGTCCAATTTGGCTTGGTCGGTCTAAAATGTCAGCCCTAGTTTTAGAATGATGGGAACTAAAACCAACATAAAAATACTCATTAACCACTAAATTTAATGAAGAAAGTAACATAAGAGACGACAAGACTTCGATTGTTAACGAAAGTGAAGTTTAAGGACCACCACAACCATTTTGGAAATTGAAGGACCAAAATGTGACTATCAACACTCTAATCATTCATTTGTGCGGTCTTGCTTTCTTAACATAAATATTTGTCCAGCAAAAGAACACTATACTAATTCATATAGTTTGACAACATAAACATAATAATTTACCTGAAATTTTATAACAAGACAACACACAAAATGATCACAACACAATGTCATTATGAAAGCTTATAATAGACGCTTACACACAATATCCAGGTAATGATGCAATCGACATTGAATAATTTCTTCTGGAGAAAAAATACGAGTACTTTATGTTTTTTTGGTTTTTCTTTTTCTGGGAAGAATGGCCACACCCACACGCACATGCTACTGTACATGATTGTTATAATTAGTAATCATTATGAAATTTAGCAATCATTTAGCTCACCCTGCTCTGCTAGCTATTTGTTTAGTAGCAACTCATCATCCATCGAACTCAAAAGCGCCGGCAGGCATACAGTTGGTTAGTTGATATTGATCTGTTTTTGCTCTCTCTGCTCTGGTGTTCATTATTTATGGAGGTTTGTATATGTCTCTCTGTCCATTCAGTCACTTCAATTTAGTTTGCGTTTATTTCTATGTAATGTATGGTACTGTTGATATTGATCCCAGTTGACACTCTCAGGTTGTAGAGTTAAGGGTTCGTCTACACTGCAGGGCCTGTGAGAAGGCAGTTCGCAAAGCCTTGTGCAGAATCAAAGGTACACATGCATGACATTGATGATATATACATAAACCTATGTATAATGTATTATGTATGCATGGTTAATTTGAATTATATGAATTTCACAGGAGTAAGATGCGTTGAAATAGATGTGATATCCAACAAGATCACGGTATTGGGATTTATGGATCGCAAAATGATTGTAAAAGCAGTGAGGAAGACCGGGAGAAGAGCTGAGGTGTGGCCATCATCCCCACCATCCACATCAATTTTATCAAAATCATGTTGCCCGGCCCGGGAGCAGCCTACTTCCCCTTCTGGATTTCGGTGCATTCTTCCAAGCTGGGCTTTTTAATTAATAAAAGGCATCAAAATGTAATGCCAATATTCATGTCTTCAGTTGTGAACGCAAAAAGCTTATAGCTCAAGTATTTATTTATGTACTCGGATTATAAGTTTGGTTTTCCCCTTCGCCAATACAGCTTATATAAAAATTATATTTATATATATATATATATATAATAGAATTAAACACAAAATACTTCATTAGATAAAAATTAAAAATCCATTTTAATTGCATTATTTTTTATATTATCAAAATAGAAAACTTCATTAGAGGACAGTCAAAACACCAAGCTAAAAAAGACAACAAAACCTAAAACAATTCATAAGCCTAAATAAGCATTTCCGTCACCACCTAAAGCAAGCAACCATGTTGTTAAACTCATTGCATCTTAGCATATAATGTTTATATGCCCGCTGACTATTAATGCAGAAACCTAATGGTTACCATAGCAGTCAATAATATGTCCAGAAAATCAAAGACTATCCATCATGCATTATCATGTGATCAGGCGGTTCACCTCAAGTCTAAGCCCCGCACTTACAATTTCAGCCCTTCATTTTAAAATCAAAGACTTGGTTGTCAAAGGATTTTATGACCAAATCCTTCGACTATACAAACAAGAGCTCCATCATCCCTTTGGCCTCCATGCAAACTCCTTTATTCTCCCTTCCATCATCAAAGCATGCTCCTATGCAATGTCCCATCACTTTGGGCTTCAACTTCACTGCTTGTCTCTCAAGTCAGGCTGTGACTCGGACCCAGTTGTATCCAATTCTCTCATTTCTATGTATGCAAAATTTACAATTGTTGAAGCAGCACGTCAGGTGTTTGATGAAATGCCTGAAAGAGACACCATCACGTGGAATTCCTTGATAAATTGTTATGTACAAAATGGGCATCTCGAAGAGGGGCTTAAAGTGCTTAAGCAAATGTATCTTCATGGTTCTATACCAAAAGCGGAGTTGATTGCCAGCATCGTATCAGTTTGCGCAAGGACAAGAGAGTTGAGACTGGGCAGAGAGATTCACGGACTCGTCATTGTTGATGGAAGGATTAAGGAGTCGGTGTTCTTGTCAACGGCTCTGGTAGATTTGTATATGAGGTGTCATGACTCGTTGATGGCTTTACATGTTTTTAATCAAATGGAAGTTAAAAATGAAGTTTCTTGGACTGCCTTGATTTCGGGATGCATTGCTAATCACAGTTATGACATTGCAATGGAATGCTTCCGGGCAATGCAGGTTGAAGGATTGAAACCAAACAGAGTGACGGTGCTTGCCATTTTACCGGCTTGTGCCGAATTGGGACTTATAGAACATGGGAAAGCGATTCATGCATATACTTTTCGTAATGGATTTGATTCAGATCATCATTGCTCAGCAGCTCTCATACACATGTATTGCAAACACGGGAAAGCTTTGCGTCCTGCCAAGCTAATTTTCGAAAGGATACCTGTTAAAGACGTTGTGGTGTGGAGTCTGATTATTGGGAGCTATTCTCAATGCGGCAATAACGCAAAAGCTCTGAAACTCTTTAGCCAGATGCGAGCTGAAGGAATTGAACCAAACTCTGTAACTCTGTTGGCAATCATTTCTGCCTGCACCTCTCTATCTTCACTAAACCTTGGATGTGGAGTCCACAGCTATGTCTTGAAATCTGGGTTAAGTTTTGACATTTTCATTGGCAATGCACTTATCAATATGTATGCCAAGTGCGGTTGTATCAAGGATGCACATCAAATTTTCAAGGAGATGCCAAGGAAAGATTCTGTTTCGTGGAGCACAATGATTGGCAGTTATGGCCTTCATGGTCACTGTAAGAAAGCTTTGCAACTCCTTGATGAGATGCAAGAGAGAGGGATAGAGCCCGATGCAGTCACTTTCCTCTCTGTTTTATCTGCTTGCAACCATGCTGGCCTCGAGGAAGAGGGAAATAAGATCTTTAAGCGAATGATAGAAGGCAATAAAATACAATTAAGCGTGGAGCATTATGCTTGCTATATTAATCTTCTTGGAAGATTAGGGAAGCTTGAAGATGCTTATGAGCTTGTTAGATCAATGCCCATGAAACCAAGTACTAAAATCTGGAGTTCGTTAGTCACAGCTTGCAAGGTTCATGGAAGATTAGAGAAAGCAGAATCTTTCGCACATCACCTTGTTACAACGGAGCCTGAGAATGCTGCCAACTATACCTTACTGAGCATGGTTCATGCTGAAACCGGCAACTGGCTTGGGGTGGAAGAGGTGAGGAGAGTCATGAGAATACAAGGATTAAGGAAATGCTATGGATTCAGCCGAGTTTAGCCAGATAATGACAAGGCTTGTAACATAGTACTCAGCAGCGACCACACTCACCCTCAAGTGTTAAGTCAATGGTTCTTTGCACTTTGAAAAGGCTTGTAGACTCCAGCCAGGAAGCACAAGTAGCAAAAATGAATCATATCCACACTCTGCAATGCATCCAACACAAAACGGAAGAGTGGACGACCAGCCTCAGAATTATAATCCACTCACTCCTGCCCAAGCAAGGACCAACGAACAAAAAGCAGGATATTTGTAATTCAGAACCAACCAGAGGCATCTGCCTTGACTTCCTTAGGCGGAGAAAATCTTTTGTTAATCTCCATTTATACGGTCATACAAGTCCTCTATTGGTAAACCAGCGCTTAATGCAAGAGTCCAAAACTAGTGTTATCAGATTCCGTTTATCAAATCAAATAGTTTCATGCTTCTAGCAAACTAAATCAGTAATTAAAATGAATCCAATACTTATTCCAAGTACGTGAACATGCCATAAAAGGGTGGAAAGTAAACGGTTTATCTAGATCGGACAAGCATCTCCAACGTTACTCGTTTTTCAGCTAAATTTTAGGGCACGTTTAGTAGTGCTTTTAGAGACTCAAGGGAGTTCAAAAGCATTAGACAGAAAAAGTGCTTATGTATTATAAAGCACTAAAAGTGTTTTATGGAAAATCTTCAGGAAGCAATTCCAAGTGTTTTCTTTCTGACAGCACTTAAAACTTTTGATAAAAATTTCAACTTGCTTCCAACACAAACAATTTCGGCAAAATCACTTATAAGTGCTTCCTTAAAACATGCAACAAACCCTGAGTACTTCAGGATGAAAAGGCACATGTCTAGCAAATCCAAACAATTAGTAATTTAGTATCGAAGCATACTTTTTTTCTAATAGAAACGTAGAACATATTAAAAACCCCAGCAGGGCAAAGAAGAGGATGAGAAATCCTCACACCACAACCAACATGAACAGAGCAAAAAAAAAGGAACAAAAATACCAAACCCATGCAAAAACAAAGAAACGAAACAAGTTCCCAGAGAAAACCCAGAAACCCAACACTAAAGGCAGATCACTTCACAACAGCTACAAGATCCCTCATAATAATAGGATAAGGATAGTCCCAAAATTCCAAAGTTACCGAAGCCCACAATGCTGCCCAGAATTTCACTCTAAGCCACAGAGCGTCCATGTCCACATCATAAGCTTCAAAAGTTCTTCTAATTCGTTCCAGCCAAATATTCCAAAACATAGACTGCACCAAACAGCCCCTTAAGGTTGAAGCTCGGTTCCCTTTTCCTAAACCTACAAACTGAAAACTAAGGAGCTTGAAACACTCTCTAGGAATAACCCAGACAGCCTCAGTTTCCTTCAACAAGAGCCACCACAGCCTTATAGAGTAGGAACAATGCAAGAACAAGTGATCTGCATTTTCCTCACACACTTTGCACAAGACGCACCAATGAGGAGATAAACAAGAAGACGGTCATCTTCTTTCGAGGATGTCGCACATGTTGACTTTCCCAAGTCCTAGTTTTATAGTATAATCACATTAATGACAGCATCTGTCGACTGGCCTACATAACTGGATATACATATATAAATGCACATAAATACCTAATAAAAATCAGCTATCCAGTCTGTATCTAGCATGAGGAAATCATCCAATTGTATATTTTCTAGTGAAGCAACAGCTTCTCCAGTAGCGCAACTTGGGGCAAATGAACCACTATCCACTTCATATGCACTTGCCATACCCTTAGAAACCAGTAAATTTGGAGAAGCTGGTTTATCAGATGGAACCTGGGTTGTTATTGTAGACGACACTGGAGTAGACTCTGATACATCAGCTGAAGAAAAATCTGTTGCAATAGTCTGTATATCCTTCTTGGACAAGGAAACTGTCGAGCCCTTAGAGAGCACTGGCCTTCTATTCTTTGGAAAATTGAACTCTGCACGTTCACCATGAATGCAATACGCAGCAGCATCATGGGCCCGAGCTGCCTTGTCTGGGGCATCATAAGAGCCCAACCATATCCTGTCTCCCGATTTTGGAAGCCTGATTTCAGAAACCCACTTACCCCAAGCCCTCATTCGAACGCCCTTATATCGTCCTGGGGTTCTCTCTCGCCGGACCTTTTTGGAAGTAGATGTTGTCCCCAAATCCATGGGTAAAGGAGACTCACCAAGAGAAAGTCTCAAGATAGCGGAAGAGTAGGATCTGGAAAGAACTACGGTAGGAAATCATTTATGAAGGAAGATAATGGATGTGAATGGGGATGCGAACAGGGTCCAAAATTAAGAGCATGTCTCAAGTGAGCAGGTGGAACTGACATGGTTGTGGTGTGATGTCACAAGTTGCACGTGGCAGCAGAGATACCGTCACGTGGGTGAGCATGGTATAGACATGAAGTTCCCAAATGCATACAACCGCAGTTGGCAAGACACGAATCAATGCGCTTGTTATGTTTAAGCCTCTTTCTAAAGGAGTACATACATACATAAATGCATACATATACATACACTAATATATACAAACACATACATACATAAATATATACAAATGTATATAGATTTTCTAGAAATCAACCAAGCATTTCCTGAAGAATACAAAGCTCAATGCCTTACTTAAAGAAGCATGATATATATAGAATTTATCAAAAGTATCGGGTGGGAAAATTCAGTACAGAATTGGAGATATAAATTCCTCATAATTAGGTTTTAGAGTAAAGGTACATTCCCATACAAACAAAATATTTGAGAAATTAAAAGAACTTGCTTTGGCTAAACCTGGTCATGTCGGCCTCTCAGATGCTCTACACAAAAGCTTCACCTGCCAGAAGAAAGTGAAATCACGATTCTGCATGCTGGAAAGCTTTCATATTCTTCTCGCATATGCTGGGCTTATGTCATGTTCAGTTACATTTTCTAGCAACTTTAGCAGTCAACGATAAGAGAACTAAACCAGAAAAAAATACAGATATTAGACATGGCAACTTACGTGAGTCTTGTGGTTGGTAATGGCAAGAAACGCAAACAAAATTACTTTAACATAAGAAGGGAAAAAAAATGCAAAACAAGACAAACAGATAAAGTGCAAAGACTAGTATACATGGCATTTGAACCAATAGCTTTGAGAAGCAACGATTTTTTATTGCATCTAGCTCTAGCTCTGAGAAGAAATGCACACACAGTATTAATGCACCAAACTTATTATATCTTTCAGGAGGTTTGCAAAAGAATTGCAACCTTAACTAATTTTAGATTTACAGCCAATACATCAATTTGTTGCCTAAGTTAATAATGAGTTGGAATCTTCTTATAACAAAAAAAATAAGGATTTGGAAAACGGGCATCACAATTGTTAGATTTTTATGGCTAAATTAATGAATCTGATACGATTACATTAGGACTAACTAAGCTATGAAATATATAAGGAAGAAAATAAAGAAAAAGGAGAAGCTAATGTTACTTATCGTGGAATAATAATAGCAGTTGAAGAGGAAGCCTTAAGAAGTAGAATAAGGTGAAGGTGGTAATGGTAAAATAGGCCCATAAATGCGTGCTTTCGTGATGATTTCGGCAACAACCCAATGCTTGCGCTTGCTCAAAGGTCTCGATGGCTCCAATCGGACCTGATCAAGTAATATGCTTAGGATGAAATTAAATTATTGTTGAATAAGAAACAGAGAGAAGAAGAATGAGAAAGGACATACTCGGTCACCGATGTTGCAATGATTCTGCTCGTCGTGGGCCATGAATTTGGAGGTCCTCTTCACGTATCGGTTGTAGAGTTTGTGATGGAACAGCCTACCACCGCCACCGCCACCGACTTCTGCATCTTATTGGAAATCACCATACCCGCCACCGCCTTCATCTCTCTCTGTCAAACCCTACTGCATTTTCAACGTCCCTATTTCACTCTTGTTCTGAGTATCAGAGTTTAAAATGGGGTTAAATCGGACCAACTCTTAAGCCATGCGATCGGGTCGATCCGACTTTTTCAATTATTTTCCGTAGGAGTTTTTATCATGAATGATTTTATTTTATTTTAGAATTAAGGAAAGATAATATAGGTAGTTCTATTTCATTAAAGGGGGACCTATTATCAGATATTATTTTTATTTTTTATTTTTTTAATATAAAAAAATATGAATTTACTTTATTATCCTTATTTAGTGCTAGTTTGGCATTACTTATTTGGGGTGATAAGTGATTTTTTAAAAATTTTGAGAAATTTCGAAGGGGTGCTGGGTTTAATGATTATGCAACAATTATTTTTTGATTATGCGGGAATTAGTACCAACAATACTTTTAACAAAAAGTTTACCAAACGCCAAACTGTTTTCTCTCACAGCTGATTTCTCTCACAACAAATCTGACAGCGATTATTTTCACAGCACAGCAATGCCAAACTAGCCCTTAATTAATAATTTCAATTCTTAATGTTTGAATTAACCAATGACATTTTTTGGTATTTTGAATGTTTCACCATTCTCTATATTTTGTTATATATATATATATATATTAGAATTAAGGAAGAGAAAATATAGAGATTTTCTATTTAAACCCTGCATTTCTCTTTGTTCACCCGAATACTTAAATCATTAAACTGTAAGTTTTATTATTGTGTAAAAAAACAAAAAAGGTCATCGAACTTAATACTTAATCCTAGTACATCTATACACACACCCCACTACTTTTCATATTAAGTTCTAGAAAAATACAAACTCATTTGTATCTTATTGCCAAATTACTCTTATCTTTTAAAGACGTAGAACATTGACAAGCCCACCTCTATAAAATTTGTGTGGGAGCTGATAGAAAGGCTTGTTGATTGTTTGGCTGTAATGATCTTATTCTCTTCCCTTTGTTGATTGTTTTTGTTTTTTGGCACTCTTGGTTGTTGATTGCTTGGTTGTTTTGATTTTTGATTTAAAATTTATACTTGATATTATTAAATTTTGGATTTGGGGTTCCATTTGTTTGTTTTTTATTTTTTTTTCTGCTCAGAACAATAATATTATTCTCACTTCTGGAATTCCAGTATTGGGGTAGCTTGAATTTTTCTTTGTGTTATACTAATTGACGTACAAGTTCATGTTTTATCTGGAACTCTGGAGAGTTTAGGATGAAAACTTAGAATATATATGTGTGTGTGTGTGTGTGTGTGTGTGTGTGTGTGTGTGTGTGTGTGTGTGTGTGTGTGTGTGTGTGTGTGTGTGTGTGTGTGTGTGTGTGTGTGTGTGTGTGTGTGTGTGTGTGTGTGTGTGTGTGTGTGTGTGTGTGTGTGTGTGTGTGTGTGTGTGTGTGTGTGTGTGTGTGTACGTATAGGTGGTTGTGTTGTGGGGTCTCCATGCTAATTTTAGTAGGAAGCATGCAGGGAACAATGGCTTATGTGGCTTCCCTTGTTAGTTTGGGAAGTGTCACACTTTTGGGCTCATTTGAAAGGTCCCGCTCACTTGTTAGAAAAATTTCTTTGTCTAAAGCAAGTTTAAAGGGTAGCAGGAGATGGCATTGTGTAAGGTTATCTGTGTGTAAATGTTCGGTCACAACTACTGACTTTGTTGCCAAGCAAGGCACTGAGGTACCCCTTGATTCTAACAATTATAAAGGAAGTACATATGTTTCTAATGCCAATGCTGATTTTGTACTTAAGCCTTCCCCAAAGCTAGTATTGAAGTCCTCATGAACCCGTTGTAGGTATTGATGCAGCTTTTTTTTTTTTTTTTTTTGGAAGCAACAACAAAATACTTTTACTCCAAGTCATGGTACCAAGACAAAAATTGTTTTGGACACAACTAAACAATTCACAACTGATGAGGTAAATAGACTATTATTATGATGTTGTAACTTCTGAGTGGTTGATAATCTTTTACAACTACCATATATGCTTTTATATAGATATTTAATAATCAAGAAGCATTGCTAAATTGGAATCGTGCGCAAGGACGAAAGTGTGGCATAGTAGTTGTCATTAAAAGGTCTGATGGAGTTGGAAAAATTATAACGAGGAGAACTAGAGTTACTTTAGGTTATGAGAGAGGTGGGCATTATATTAAGAAGCCTAATGTAGATTGGTTGAGAAAGCTAGTAGATCTGAGATGCAACGATTGCTATGTAGACTATCTATTCACAAGTATATTCATTGGCATAGGACTGATGACACCAATTGTGTGAGCTATCTTTTTTAGGCCCACCCTGATAGTGTAAACCTATTGCATGCATTTCCTCATGTACTAGTAATGGATTGCACATATAAGACAAACAGGTTTCAATACCCATTATTACAAATTGTGGGGGTGACATCGACGAAACTAACATTCTGAGCTGCATTTGCTTATATTTCTTCTGAAAATGAAGACAACTATACGTGGGCTTTGAATAGATTGAAAAGCATCATGAATACAAATTGTCTTCCAGTGTGATTGTCACTGATAGGGAAATGGCACTTATGAATGCCATTCGCAATGTGTCCCTAGTGTTTGACATTTATTATGTTGATGGCATATCAACAGGTGTGTGATGAAAGCTTGCAAGGTTATTCCTAGCTTATACTAAATCTCTTATTTCAATGTTTATAAATAGGGCAAAAAGTGCACATTCACAACTGAAGCGACAACTTGGCACAAGCCTTCGAAAAATAGTGGGCCAAGATTCATGCCATATTAGTATTGCAACACACTGAGATAAAGGCTTCATTTGAGAAGAGTCAATCATTTGTCCAGCATGAATTCAATAAGGTGAGCCTACTTAAAGACTTGATAGGGTATGTGTCTATTGTTGCCTTGGAGGAAATTTTGTGTGAGTCAAAGAGGATACAATATGTCGAGGCTGATCCCATTGCATGCGACTGCGTTATTAGACGCAGCCACGATTACCATGTGCTCATGAGATGGCTAAGTTAAGTCGAGCATTCCGACCCATTGCTCTTCATTGTGTTCATCCTCACTGAAGGAAATTAGATATGTTTCCCGCCGCACAAATTAGTGACAACTTAGATTCTCCTGAAGATGCAAAGATTGACATATTTGTCAACTAGTTTAAAAGTAATGATGCTGACACCAAGAGACACATCAGTATGAAGTTACAAGAGATTATGGATCCAAAATCTTCAACACTTAGAGAACCACAAGTGAAGATCAAGACAAAAGAGCGTCCAAGTAATTTTGACAAGTCTACTCGTAGATTGCCTTCAACCTTTGAGCTTGTCGAATCCGATTGTAATAGGAATTCTCGAACATTGTCCAACAGTGTAGTCTATACGAAACCTCCACCAAAAAAGCGAAAGAAACAAACACCCTCATTAACAGTAAGTACTTCATATTACTTTTATGTTACAATTATACTTGTTGCTCTTTATGTTTCTTTACTTTGTAGGTGAACCGTGATACTCAATCATCAGCACTCGTAATTGTAAATGCTGAATCGTAATTGTAAATGCTGAAACTACACTGCCTAAGAAGCGACCACCAAAACTATCAGTATGTACTTATATTATTTTGATTAAAGCATCAAAAGTTCAAAAGAAAAACTTATACTTTTTTTTTTATTCAGGTGCATAAGCAACAAATTGTCAATCCCAAAGACTTGAAACAACAATATAATGACAAACTTCCAGCTGCTATAAGGCCATTTATTATGGGAGCCCAAGATGTAAAATCTGATGGCAATTGTGGCTTTAGAGCCATTGTTGGGTTGCTAGGTTACAGGGAGAATTCTTGGCATAAAGTAAGGAGGGAGTTACTGAATGAGTTGAAAAATGATGAATTTCTTTATGAATTTATCTTTCAGAGTGTTGAAAGTAAGCATGAGGTTGAGTATCGCTTGGATTATTTTGATGATTACCCTTTAGAAGATAGGTGGATGCTCATACCATAAATGGGTTATCTTATTGCAAATTGTTACAATCTGGTCTTGATGCATTTTTCAAATGTTATATCTCTTATGTTTCTACCAACAGAAAGTCATCCTTTGCCTGAATATCAATGTCGGGAAATTTCCATCGGATTGGTTGAAAAACACTTTGTGCATGTATTATAATAAAAATTTTCTATTTATAGCTGGCAGTTTTGCCTTGTGAAATTTGTTTGTTGTTTTAACTATACATTTGACAACTTTATTTTATTTTGACAGCTACACTTGCAACCACACCATCCTATGCCACCTATTATCAATCGTTGGCTTGATATTTCCAACCTCAAAGCATTGGATTGGTATAGTCCATATCGAGATCGCACTGACAATTGGAAAGAGCTTATCGGTTCATTTGATGTACATCTTGATGTATATTGATCCCTTACTATTAGATGTTTTGTCACAATAGTTTTATTTTCATTTGACCTATTGGGTTTTGTAAACTTTTATAAAGTTTTATCAGGTTACACCTTCATTATCTTCCCTATTTATCTCCTATAAAATATAGGTATGCTTTTGTTTCGATGTTACAAAAGATTGTGGAGAAAGAAAAGTATATAACGATTACCATCTTAAATGCCATTTTTACTGTAGCAATGTTCTCAAATAGCAAATGACTTCATTATATTGTATCATCTCAATAGGCTAAATGTCACTTTTCCGTTGGGTAAAAAATAAAAGAAGATGTTGTGGTCATTGATTTTTAGTGTCATCATAAAACGAAACCAAACAAACTAACAATATCTCATATGATCTAATGACATGACAAAAACAGATTGTGAAAACAACAAAATCTCATGTATACTACAAATTTTTTTTAATGATTTAAGTATTTGGGTGAACAAAGAAAATTATGGGGTATAAATAAAAAAAATCTCTTTTATTTCTTATTTTTGCAGTTTGAGGTGTATTTAAAGGTAGTTTAGGAAGATAGTGGGGTTTTCTTAGAAATTGTGAAAATTTAAATTAAAAGTTGGGGTGAACTAAGAGAAATGTGGGGCTTAAATAGAAAATCTCAAAATATATTTAGGTATCTAGCCTATTGGAAGAAAAAAAAGGATCTTAATATCTCAGGTTTCAAACCTCACGATACTTGACAAAACACTCTTCTCCCTTCTAACTAGTAGGGGAGGGCACGGTACGAGATGATACGAGATGGAGGTCATCCTGGTGTCAATCCCGGATAGGGGAATTGAGATGGGATGACACGGGATGTGAGTTTTTGAGAACACATTCAAACATATCGGACCCAAATGGGACCAGTATGATTCGGTATCAATGTTGATATCGTAAAAAATCCTGCAAAAATTCAGAAATATTGCAATTTTTATAAATCAAGCCTGATACAAAGTTTACAAACAATCAAGATTCAAGAGTCTTGTTCAAGACCTCCCAAATTATATGATACATTGAATACATTCACATTGGCTTTTACAAATCAAGCATAATACAACAAAACAAACAATCAAGTCTTGATTCAAGACCAACCAAGAATACGATCTTCAACCCCCTGGTTTTTCTACACAAAAAGTAGGAGAGACTTTGGGGCTTTCCTTTTCCACCTATTTTATACACTTTGGAGAACAGAGAGAGAGAGAGAGAGAGAGAGAGAGAGAGAGAGAGAGAGAGAGAGAGAGAGAGAGAGGGTGGGGGGGAGGAGGAGAAGAAAAGAGAAGAATATAGGGGAGGAAAGGAGAAGAGAATGGAGAAGAGAAGATAAGAGAAGAATATAGGGGAGGAAAGGAGAAGAGAATGGAGAAGAATAGATAGAATAGAGGGAAGGAAAGGAGAAGAGAAAGGAGACGGAGGAAGCAAAGCTTGAAGAGTTGAAATATTCGTGGGAGATGAGGAATATGAAATTGGGGTTTATTATTTACTTGGTACTGTCCGGTACAGTATAGCATCAAACGGGATCACAAATTTGGAACCGGTGTCGTACCAAACAGTAACGAGATGACACGATATCATCCCGTTTGCACTTTAACACCAAATGAGATGACATGAGATTGTCATGATTTGGCATAGTTTCGATATTCTGGTTTGGATGCTCAACCCTACGAACTAGGGCAAAAAAAGAATTTAATTGTGCCTCTTAAAAATAAGACAAATATATATTTTTTAATATGAAATATTGTTCCAATAACCAAAAAAATATATATATTTATATAGTCTATATTATTTTTATTTAAAAACAGTATATGAGCATTTTATGTTAATTTGAATAAAGTGAAAAAATAACTAATGGAATGTTAAATAGATTTACTCAAATCTTTGGTGTGCTCCCAAATGGTCCGGTTCAAATGTCTAAAGTAACTGTGTTTGTGATTTTCCCCATACTTTTTTTAATTTTGGCAACCAAATAATAATAATAATGTGAAAAAATAAAAAAATATTTGTATTGTTAATATTAGCGGAACT